GGGAGCTGTTGATTTATTAGATGGCTTTGTTTCCCCCCTTTCCAGCCACATGGGTTATATAATTACAGGAACCAGGGCAGTGTTATGGGTCACAGAATCAAAGCTTAAAATGACCAGCTCTGCCTGTGCAACTACCAGGTTGGAATCGGTGGCACTTAAAAAACAGCACACGTCCACTCTGCCTATAAATCACCATTGACATTAACTTTCCTTCCTGTGTTTGGATGTAGGGGCCTGTGGTATATATTAGTTTGGTTAGGTTTTGTCATTACTGGTGAGTAAATGTTGGCAAAACAAATGTGTTCTCACATCGATCTGAGTGATGGTTTCCTGACTTTTGATTGGGGGTTTCTAGCCTTATAAACAGTGTATCTTATAACACACTGTAGTTTATAGATTTCTCTACTTTGTGGGAGAATTGTATATTTTTAAGCACGATGCCGTCTGTCATGCTGGTAAGCAATTATAATGAACAAGGAGTAATGCCATCTTTGTTGCAGCACCAGAAAAGCCTTAGTTGTTGTTTTTATCCCTTCTGGCTGGGTGATTGACTAAATTAATGTGTGTTAAGCAAGGAATCTGTTTTACCAGATAGGAGTCAATAAATGGTTTGTTCTATCAGAGTCTAAAACACACAAATGTTTTTTCCTCCTGATAGAGATGCTTTAAGAAGCTTATCAGAATGGTAGTGGACAGATATTATGAATTATTGAAAGTTTTTTTTGTTTTTGTGTTTTTTTTTTAAATACTTGTTACACCATGCACAGCATTTGTTTGTCTTGTGATCTACTCACTTTTGCCAGACAGCAATGCCATGCTTTCAACCTTTCCTGCTTTGGAGTCTTAAGATGGCTATACACAGGCTTGTCACACAATATAGACTCACTCTCTCTCTCTCTCTCTATTTGTATGTGACCAAAGCAACCATATTGGCATCACTGGTTATAGGGATGCTCTATTTCATCCAACCCTTATTTTCATTTGTAATTGTGAAGGACCTTGTTGTAAAAAATATTATATTCGAGTAACTTAATGTGTTTAAAGCCTCCTGGTAAAAAATACAAACAAAAAAACTACCCTTGTAGGGGACTACAAGGGTTTGTAGGTCTAGGGTACCTATGTAAAGGACTTTTACTTACCTGGTCTCTGCTCCTGTAGGCTCCAAGATCTCGGATACAGCCTGCTCCTCCCTCCTTCCTTTTTGGCAGTAAGTGGCCTGCTGACTTCATCTTATACAATGCTGGGCCCATAGTCCTGTATTATAGATGAGGACTCCAAAGGACAGTCTACAAGCCGGAGCTGAGGGGAGAGAGGTGAGCACCGATTACCAGGGGAGTGGAGATCAGGTAAGTAAAGGTCCTCTTCCCAATACAAAATGATCACTTAAGCTTTGCAGTGGGGTGTAGCCCCACTGCAAGGGCAGTTTTTTTTCATCCGGGAATCGGCTTTAATACACATAATTATAGTACAGATGTGTGGAGAATCCTTCCACCTTTAACACTATGTTCCATGTAACACCCATCTATAGGACGTAACATGGGAACATGGTGCCATCCCACAGCCCCTCCACCCTCAACCCATCTCCTTCACTTACCTTTCCTCAGAGGCTCATCAGTACTTTTTGAATTTGGCACAGCTGCATCCTTTATTCTTAGAGCTATGTCACTGTGGCAAATGGAATTCTAGTTCTCAATGGAGTACAGGTGCAGTGACAACCCCGCACTTGTAGTCCATTGATAACTTCCTCCAGTTCCATAAACGGAGGTCCGTACCTTGGTATGTTGCTGGGGGAACTTTTTGCATGAGCCTGCGCATTGCATCCAATGATCACGGTTGCAAAGCTTTGCAGGCTCAAATGTAAAAAGTCAATACACACTTTTTTTTCTTTTTGCAGGTACATTTATTTTCTTGCAAAAAGTGGAATATGCCTTTTAAGATGCATGATTTACTGCATTTTACCATTTTTATGGCATTGCTACTTCAGAATAAATGCAGGAAGCTCTGCGTACTTTAAAATAAAAAGTATATTATAGAATAAAACTGTTAAGATTTTTTTTTATTTATATGTTTAGTCAAGAAATGAAAAACCGATGAAGATTATGAGCAGATTGTGTAATGGTATCACCCTGGTCTATGGCTCATGTCTGTCTTACTTATGTAATGTCTGTGCAGGCAGATAACTAGAGCTGTGGCCTCTGGGTGAATTATGCTGCATCTCGCAGAAGACCACTGACCTGTGTGTTTCCATTCCTCCGGAGCTGCAATCCCTGTTATCAGACCCTGCTAGGACTATACTTCCTATCGTGTTAAACACCTGTTCCTCAGCTGCTGCTAATAATACAAGATCTGTGCATTGCAGCACTCCGCATCTTCAATGGGTTTTTGTTCCATTGGTATAACTCCCTTTTCTTTTTACATTATCATATTTAAAAATGGACTCCTAATCCTTGTAGAAATGGCATCCCTTGTAGAAATGGCATATGTCGGAGGATATTACTCGGAAATTACTGTATATTAAAGTGTACTTTGCAGTAAAATACAAGGTCATCTTAGAATATCGGGGGGCCCCTCCGCCTGTGAAAATCACTTGCTATAAGTATGCGCAAAATGTACACGCAAAGAGCAGAAGCTAGATATTAAACCTGCCTTACCCCCTTCCTCCACCCACTGCATCCAGACAAGGGTGATGCCACACTGGTTCTGGCAAGAAGACGCTCTTGCAATGGACAAAAGAGATTTGGCCTGCTCTGTATTTCTCAGGAATCCTCTCCGAAGGACATTGACGGCACACCCAGCGATGCGGAAGACGGGATGAGGTAAGTATAAATCTAACTTTCTTCTTTACAGGTAACTTTTGCACATACTTTTAGCAGGTGGTTTATGCAGGCGAAGGAGGCCCAGATATGGTAAGCGGACCTTGCTTTGTACTGCAAAGTCAACATTAAAGAAACCTGTGCTGAGAGAAACACAGAGATTGTCATTTCCAACCTTTGAAAATGCTGGTTGCCTATCTTTCATGCTGTTCACTGATGTACGTTCTATTTCATACACTAACCTTTTAACAAGCAAGCGAATAGCTAGTCTTCAGTTGACGTTTGTGTTGTGATGAGTCCTATATTTCTGTCACTGTAGGATTCCTTTAAATCTCATAGGGACATTATTATTATGAAGAGGACTGGACATTGTACATCTTTCTGATGAACTCGGCCTCCTACAGTTTACCAAGCAGTTTTCACGCCAGCAGACTCGGCATGTTAGGAAGTTTTATGACCCAAACACCATTGTGTGTTTTTGTTTTTTTGACATTCATTTTTAATGAACCCTCAATTGTTGTCCAAGGGCAAAAAGCTCACTTGCCTTTTTTCCTCCATGTATGTTGTGTGTGTGTGTGTGTGTATATTATGTCCATGAATGCGTGTTGAGTGACACTGAATGAATATCAACAAAACGTGCGCTCACCACATGTTGTTGATCTTTGTGACTAAATGGTCCATCTCGTACAATAAAAGTTAAGCCTTTACCACCAATTTGAAACTCTCTCTTTAAATGACAGAATGCTGGTCTTGTACCCACCACAACTTTTCCCCTTGTTCCAAAGTTAGACTTGTGTGCTTGTTGTGACGTGGGAGCAAAACAATTTCTCTGTTCGAAACTGATACTTAAAGGAGAACTATGAGGTGAGTGAAAATCACTCATCCTCATAGTTAGAGCCGACGTGTGACAATGAAACTGCCACACGTCGGCTCAATAGACCCGGAAGTGAGTGAACACATACCGTCGCTCACTCGCTTCTCGATCATCTCCCTGCAGAGAGCCATGACTGTCGGTCACCGCTCCCGCAGGAATTCCCCCCCGCTCCACTCTGATCCTCCAGCGCTGACTGCAGGAATGGACGGGGAGGGGGCGGGCACAGCTGGCTCTGCCACTAGATAGGCAGAGCCAGCTGTCATTCAGGCAGCAGGGTGGATCTCGACAGCATTGTCCAGATTAGTCCCGCCTGCGGTGGTCTCAGTATACCGGGAGCTGTAGCTCGCGATATACTGAGCTTTGGGTCACGGGAGGATGCTAGTATATGTCCTCCCGTGACCCTTAAGAGAACTATGGGGGAAAACCCCATAGTTCTCTTTTAAATTTTGGGCAGTCTCAGGTGGATTTATTCAGTCACCCTCTTACCACTCCTGTAACTAGTTTCCACAATAAGTATACGTTATGAAGAGTCCGTTGGATAAGTGTAAAACCATCATTTGCAGTAAGTCCAAATGAATTTGCAGTCATTGTACGAACAGCCTTCATATTCATACTTGCCAACATTTTCCTTATATAGCAGTTGTGCGGTGTGTCAGAATATGACTGTGCTGTCCCATCAGCACAAGAGTTTAACCACCCTGCCCAGTGTACCTCATAATCTTACAGACCTGGTCAGACACACCCTCCCATTTTTCATCACTTCAAGTCTGTATAAGAATACTCCTGATGAGGGGATTGTCTGTTATTCATCTATGCTAGCATAGAGCGTGGAAAAGGGAGCACAGGAAGGCCATTTCCAAAGAAAAGGGTATTTAAGGTAATTTAAAAATGACAATCCTTTGAAAATCATAACACACAATAGTACAAGATTATAAAGAAAAAAAATGGTGATAATTTAGTATGGGTTTAAGGCAGTTGGACAGAATGTGTAATTCTAATGGAAGTCTCTTTAATATAGTCCCCAAGTGATATCCGAAACCTTACTCGTAACTATGCCAAACTGAAATCTGAGTTTTTGTGTGCATCTGGCCTTTCACTCCTAGATAACTTGATTATTGAAAGTGATGTTTAAAACTTTCTCCTTGCTTGCAAATATCCAGCCTTGCGGGGCTCATTTGCTGCTTTGTTAGTTGCTGATTGGCTATTGGCTGTTTTTTTGACTGACATCACATTGAGACATTTTTGTTCCCGTGTGAAAGTATTCTTATTTTCTTTATGCTATATTTTTATGTGCACTTTTCTTTCTTTTCCAGAGATGTGCTCCAGCTTCGATTCGCCTTATGGACAATGCTCAGTTTCAGTTTGGTAAGTGTCACGGTTTTGCTTAGTGTGCGTAACTATTTGTGCTGATGAAACAGTGTAATAAGCACATGTATCCAGTCCCTGATGTGCCTGCAAAATGCTGCAACAGGATTATAACATCAGGCTCACTGGCTTGTTTTGCAATCAATACCAATCAATATGTAATTATTTTAACCCTCACAATGTCTTGTTAATATGCCGTCCAGTTATCTGAAGTGTACAGTTAGGGATTGGAGCCTTAATTAGTGAACAGTCACTTCTGTATTTGACTGAGGGAACAAATGGACTTCAGGAGAATAAATTGTGTAACGTATCAGACAGAACCAAATTGTCAGCACAAAGAAGGGTGAGCTTACCATTTGTACATTATAGGCTTTATTTTATCAGACAGCTAGTGTATATTTATATGCTTAGGTTAACACTATATCTAAGATCTGTACGATCTAGAGAAAAGTAAAATAAGGTTCATTGCCAATCATTATAAAATAAGCATGAGCCCCAGATTTAAGAAACGGCTTCTAATTGATCCTCGTGAAGACTGTAAGTACATGCACAGATGGCCTTTTAAGAAGCTTCTCTATTTCCCTTGCATCAGACTGCACTGTATTTTACAGAGCTCAGTGCATAGCACCAGAAACAGGACATGTTCTCTCCTGTTTCAGATCAGTTTTGGATCCCTACCTTAAACTACCACCTACTTTGTATATGGCAGCTGTGAAGAGGTTAGGTTTTAGCATTTGGTGGGACAATGATGTTCTGAGATGCTGAATAATATGGCAGCCTATCTTCCCATTAGGGTACCTATAGATATAAGATGACTGTTACCCAGTCTGGCTTATTTTTGCCATGACTGGGTGAAATGTCTGTTGACAGCAGCAGAAAACCCAGTAAGCCATTCTCATGGAAACTAGGTGCCTCAATAACTGTTAAAGCAAAATTCCCTTTTGACTCCTGAGGGATTGGAGGTCCAGGTTCAATTTGTCATGTTTTGTCAATTGGAAGTTTTGACTTTCTTTTGGGCTGCTTTTGTCATTTGTAAATGACTTTAAATATATTTTTCTTTGGAAATGAGCTTCCTGTGCTCCCCCTCTCGTGCTCTATACTAGCACAGATGAATGGACATGATTTTGATGTACAAAATGTTTAGTGGTGATGGCAATAAACTATTTACAGTAAACTCCATTACGAAGACTAGAGCCCACCACCTAAAATTGCTGGAGAGAAGATTTAACCACAAGGGGTGTAGGGACTCTTTTTCAGTTAGAGAGGTCAAAGTCTGGAACTCGCTGCCACAAGCAGTGCTATCAGCTGAGAGTATTGAATCATTCAAAAAGCATTTAGATACCTTCCTCCAGAGACAGTAACATACAGGGGTACAGGTACTCTTCAAAACAAGATCACACAGGGACTCGTACACGCATATACATGGGCAATCACACAGACACACAAAGGTAAAACTTGATGGACCTGTGTCTTTATTCAACCTCAAATACTATGTAATAGACAAGCCCCTCACAGTGGTGTGGAAAAGCTAAAAAAAATAAATTTGTCCGAGGAGTAAAGTGGGGACCCAATCTACTTGTCCCTTATGACAATACACTTGTCATGATACAAAAAGAATTTTAACCAAAACCGTATTGAAGCGTGCTAAGAAGCACTTCTCATTGGTCAGCGCAGTCAGGGGACCAAGGAGTGCTTGCAATTTGTGAATTAAATTCAGAATCCATAGCGCAGGGTAATTCCATTTTCAAGTGAACTTACCCTTTAATGCACATTGTGCGAGTTAGTGAGCGCTGCTGCCTGGCTACCACGGTATATGCGTGCATTTATTTGCATGCAGATATCGAGAGTGGCAGGGTTGGTTGAAATTTTTTATTTTGTATTTGGTCTGCTCCCTGCTCTCCATCCTGAAACCATTTACGTTGTCCCGGGTCCCCTAGAAGAGTGGGGACCCCGAAAACCACAGCGGGGGGGCGGGCCGGGCCATAATGGGGACATAGACAAAGAGGCTGCTATACAAGTGATCTAGGCACTGTACAGCACCCCAGATTACTTGTACAAAAACGAGCGGCGGCTTCCCCTGCTCTACATTTAGCCCTGCTTGCCCGCAGTAGGGCTAAATGTAGAAAGAAAGAAAAACCCGCCCGGAATGTCCTGGGCGTCGGGTGATAGGAATTCCGCACCCCTGCCCTCATCAGGAGTGTCCTTATACAGACTTGATGAAAAATGGGGGGGTGTGTATGACCAGGTCTGTGAGAATATCAGGTGCACTGGGCAGGATGGTCAAACCTTGGTGCTGATAAGACAGCACAGTCATATTCTAACACACTGAACAACCGCTATAAAAGGAAGATAAAAGCAAAAATGAATATGAAGGCTGTTAGTACAATGTCTGTGACTTCATTTTGACTTCTCACTGGGCTCCACATTGCAGAGAAGAGCTATGCATGTGTTCTGTTTGTTGCATAAGCACAGAGGCAAAGTATAGAAGTTGGTTCATGCTGCATTACTGCACAGAGCAGGAAAAAATACACACAGGGCCCTGGGATATTAGTAAAAATACACATGCCTCTTGTATTTATTCAGTACTTAGTCTGGATTTCAGCTGATAACGAGATCTATGTACAGTTTTCATAAGCTCACTTGTGAAATCACTTTGGATTTCATAACACTACTCCCTAAGTCCTCACCATGCAAAGCATGTACTCCTGCGCTGGACATCTCCATGACTTCCCTACGTTAAAGTGACACTAAACTCAGGAGTTAAATCTTAACAATTAATGAATGTACCTTAACTATTAACAAAAATGAATCTTATTTGTGTATCACTCGGCTGTAGATCCTTAGAAAAACAACTCTGAATTGGTGCTGACACTGTCCTTCCTTCTGGAGGGTGGCTACTTTTGTTCCCCATGATCCCTGTGTGTTAAGTAGCCACTGCTCCAAGCTCACTCCCATGATGGACTACAATCTCAAAATAAATTAGCAAACTAAACTTAGTCCATTGCAGGAGTTTAGTTTGCCACAATCTCACATTTAGTTTTCTAATTTGTATTGGTATTGTAGTCCATCACGGAAGCAAGCTTGGAGCGGTGGCTACTTTACAACACACACAGGGACCATGAAGAACAAAGGTAGCCACCCTCCAGAAGGATGGACAGTGTCAGCACCAATTCAGAGATGATTTGAGGCTCTAAAGCTGAGCGATACACAAATAAGCTACATTTGTGTTAGTAGTTAAAGTACTTGAATGTATTTTTAAGATTTAACTCCGGAGTTTGGTGTCACTTTAAGACCTATCATTAGGTAAAGTGCCCAGTCTTTGACTCGCTTGCTCTGTTCCTGCCACCTTCGAGTGCCCATGGTATCTCCGCAGCACTCAGTTTTGTGCAGTGTAAAATAACCACCCAGTACAGCCCAATGTTTACAATTAAAGGTCTTTTAGCTCTGCATTTTGTTAACCTAATTACTGCCTACTTTCTACAACCGTGCAATGAAAAACCTGTATTTTTAGTCTGATGGTGCTCTTGCACACACTTGGCTGTGATGTACACATGATCAAGAAGTCTCCTCTACACCAGATCCATTAATGTCTGTCAATGGACATAAAATCTTGGAGCAGACTATAGTTCTGCTTCAAGATTGTAAGTGATTATTAATCACTGCACACAATAATACAAGAATCGGGGAATATTAAAGATATTACATCATATAACGTACTAAAATAAGTCCGTAATTAAATAGCATGAGCTTATTGGAAGGGTATATGGTGCCATTTTTATGTTTTTGCTAGTTATTTTCACTGACCCATACAATTATTCAGAATGGATCTCACTTCACGTGTTGCGTATTTATATCGGCTCAGTGAGTGATGTATTGATACCAGTGAATCGACGTGACAGCCAGGCAGCTAAAGTTTTTGAAGGAGATTAGAAGTTATAGTCCACATACTGTATTTCTCAGGTATTGTATAAGGCTGTGGGAGATGCAGGTTTCTTAGAACATTCAGAATTGTCATGGTTCTTATTTATTGCTTTATATCACTGTGCACACACCTCTGATATCATAAGCGTCCTAACAGATGTGAACTCATTAATGCTTATGGCATGCTTTAATAACATCTCGGCTAACCAATTACATGAGATAAGAAAAATAAAAAATAGAACTTGCATTTCGAAGTCACCATGCCACTACCAGGCGTACATGGGCATGTATGAGTCATGTTTTCTGAATTCAATAGTGAGCATGTGCATCAAATGCAGGCACCTCTAGAGGTTTACAAGAGTTTCCTGGGATAAAATATTTGATCTTCACTAGTTTGAGTAAGCACAAAACACAGCCTGTCTACAAGGGCCCTGAGGGCCACACAGTAACTGCCACAGAGCTGCATGTGGCCCTTTGGACACAGGTTGGGCACCACTGTGCTTTAGAAGGTATGAGCTTGCTTTACAGTGTATGGGAGTTTATTTTAAAGTTGTGAGCACTGTATATGTTAAGTACCGTATGCCTACTGGATTTAAATGTTGTGTATACACTGCATTTTGCAGTCTGCCTGTTATGCAGCTCAAACCATCAACGTGTATAAACAGATGCATTCTGTTTAACAGAAAAACTGATAATGCCAATTTTAACAAAACCCTGGCTCGCCGGTTCTGTGGTGTGCTTTACTAAACTGCTGTGGGCAGTATGGCATAGACTCTAACTCAGGGTGTCGGAGAACTGTTGATTTGCATATTATTGGCACTCCTAGAGCTAGAACCCAATAATGTATTCACAATCTATACAGAACTTTTAAAGCTTTTTTTTTTCTTTTCTTCAAACTACACGTTATATTGAGATCACATTTCTGTAAGAGCCCGTTCACGCTATATCCAGACCAGGGTGTTTTTTTTTTTTTTTTATCTACGCCAAAAATGCATACACACCAATTCCAATGGTTTTAAATTGGGCTAGTTCACACCATTGCGTTCAGCTCCAGAGCTTTTAAAAAAGTACAGCAGCATGCACTTTTTCATGCTGGAATGCACAAAAACACATGTAAATGCACCAGAACTCGCTTAAAACCCATGCAGAACCAATTCAAACAAAGAAAAAAAGTACCAAACATATAAAAAAGGCATCATAAAAGCACGGAAACGCATCCAGGTCTGCTCTGGAGAACAGCGCTAAAGCTTTTTTGCAGCGAATTCATTTTGGTTTGTTTAAATAAGGAACAGTACAAGATGCAGTAAGTGTATCCAATCAGAAGTCATCTCACACTCTGGGATGTGTAAATTGATCTAGAATAGGAATCAGTGAGTACATAATTTTCCTCCTAATAAGTTTTCCAGCTCTATTAACGACATCGGGGACGGAGTAAACAGCGATATCTCAGTGTTTGCTGACGATACCAAAATTAGGAGGGTAATAGAAACAGACCAAGATAGTGTAATATTGCAGGAGGACCTGGATAAAATAGGGGAATGGGCAACTATGTGGCAGATGAGGTTTAATGTCGATAAATGCAAAGATATGCACTTTGGGAGGAATAATAGGCAAATGGGTTATACAATTATGGTTATGCCGCTAGGGAAGTCGGAAATGGAGAAAGATTTGGGGGTCATTGTAGACCACAAACTAAATAATAGATTACAGTGCCAGGTTGCTGTAAGCAAAGCTAGTAGAATCTTGTCCTGCATCAAGAAGCGAATGTTTTGCAGGGATAGGTCTATAATTTTGCCACTTTACACATCAATGGTTCGGCCCCACCTGGAGTATGCGGTGCAGTTTTGGGCACCGGTCCACAGAAAGGATGTACTTGAACTGGAGAAAGTCCAGCGGAGGGCGACCAAACTCATAAAGGGGATGGAGGACCAGAGCTATGAGACACGGCTACTAAATTTAAACATGTTTACGTTGGAAGTAAGGAGATTAAGGGGGCACATGATTTTCATGTACAAAATGTTCCATAGTCATAGCAACATTAGCAACAAACTCTTTGAGGTTGGACTTGATGGACTTATGTCTTTATTCAACCTCAAATACTATGTTACTATGTTATTTGCAATGATACACAGAGGGCCATAAAAGACTTTATGTAAACCCGCCAATAAAGACTTTCATGTTTTACATCTGTTCATATGAACTGATGTTTGCTATTAAATTAGCTGATCTGCCATCAAATCTGTGATTCACTTGCCGATTTGCTTATCTGTTGTGTTCACTGCTATAAACTGATAAAAGATGAAATCTGATTGGCTGCTTTGGTTTAGTGGACTTTGCATATCGTCCTTTAACTGCTTTATATTTATAAAAAATATATATTCTGTATCTTACTATGAGGAACTTAAAGTGACGCTAAACTATTAACAAAAATGTGTCTTATTTGGGTATCACTCGGCTGTATATCCTCAAATCATCTCTGAATTTGTGCTGACACTGTCCTTCCTTCTGGAGTGTGGCTACTTTTGTTCCCCATGGTCCCTATGTGTGTGTTGTAAAGTAGCCACCGCTCCAAGCTCGCTCCCGTGATGGACTACAATCACAATACAGTTTAGCAAACTAAACGTGAGATTGTAGTCGTTTAGTTTGCTAATTTGTATTGAGATTGTAGTCCATCACCGGAGCAAGCTTGGAGTCGTGGCTACTTTACAACACACACATAGGGACCATGGGGAACAAAAGTAGCCACACTCCAGAAGGAAGGACAGTGTCAGCAGAATTCAGCGATGATTTGAGGATTTGCAGTCAAGTGATACACAAATAAAGTCCAGTTTTGTTAAAAGTTAAGGTACTTGAATTCATTTTTAAAAATTAACTCCTGCGTTTAATGTCACTTTAAGCTTTAGGCTAGGTTCACACCTAGGCAATTTATCACATGGATTTAGCCACGATATCGCGCAAAACACAGATTCCCATTAAAGTCAATGGGGCCTGTTTACACCCTTTGCAGTGCATCGCGCGGTCGAAATCGCTTGTCCCACAAAAAGGTGCTGGAGCTATTTTCAGACGTTTTGTCACACGGTTGTGGTCCCATAGACATCTCTGCATTCTAAACCGTGCAGTTTTTAAAGCAAAATCGTGCAAAAAAACAAAACTGAGTGAAAACAGCTAATCGCCTCAACCACCTAGCTGTGAACTTGTCCTTAGCTAGCATGGCTGCTGTTAACCAAAAGCATGTTTTAGTTTTTTTTCTGTTCACTGACTGGCCAGCTCTCCACTAAGCATTCATTTACAAAAGTGAAACTACTTCTTTTCCTTCATAAACTCCTTAAGAATACATAATACTCTGTTACAGGATGGATTAGCTGACCAGTCATTACAGCCGCTTGCTCATCAAACTTTTATTTATTTGTGCCTGCATCTTTTTTTTCAGGGCATGCTCTTAAACCTCAGGTGGCCTCAATTTTTACTTCATTTTTGGATGGCTTAAAAAAATTCTACATCACAAAGGTATGAAGTTTGGATTATACATCAAAATTGCTCACAATTTTAAGTATTTGTGGCAGTGATTTTTATATTCAGTACATTGTTTGTAGACTCCGTTACCGAAATGGTAGTAACCAGGTTCTGAAGCATTCCATGTTTTGCTCTACAGACCTGAGAAGTCCTGTTAACCCCTAGCTGTTGGGGACTACAGGTCCAATGATGTTGGGCAGGAGTCTTTGCCATTGGGGAGATTTCCCTTTTACTTCCTATCCCGTAGATACACAAAGAAAGGGAGAGGAACTCTCAAACTGGACTAATTTCTCTGGAACATTTGTTTTAATTGGAAGATTCCCCCTTTATTTGTTCTGACAAGTCATCATTTGGTTTTTTTCTTCGCTTTTAGTCCTGTGCCAGCCATCATAGAGAGCATACACTGTAGAACCAGCACACGATAATCTTCCAAAGAAATTCAAACTTTATTCCACTTGCATCCATACAAAGAACCACCGCTGATGTGTTTTTGCCTTACTCGGCCTTAGTCACAGCTATGACTAAGGCCAAATAAGGCAGAAACGCATCAGCAGTTGTTCTTTGTATAGATGCAAGTGGAATAAAGTTTGAATTTCTTTGGAAGATCATCGTGTGCTGGTTCTACAGTTTTTGAGCCTATCACTCCAGAAGAGAGTCATCCGTGGACCGAATGTGCATTACAAGGGCACATGATAGAGGGGAGCTGTGCGCTTTGTGTTTCTAATAGAGAACATATAGTAGAGTACATAGAGAGTGTAATTCCCCCGAGTGGGGACACACAGCATTGTAAATCTGAGAGTCTGGCCCTTCCCTACTCTTTTGAAGAAAAAAATGTTGGGCTTTGGCAGGGACCTCCTTAATTTTTTCTTTTTTGCTGGCTTTTAATTTATACTAGCATACAAAAGTTTAAAGCTTTCGGTGTGACAAAACGTGTTGAGCTATATGGGAAAAAAAAATGTGTGTACACCTGACCATCACACCTACATTGTTGGGATGTCCCATTCCCATTCTTTTGAGAAGACTTTCCACATGATTTTTGGAGCATGTCTGTGGGAATCTGTGCTTATTTAGCCAAAGAGAATTTGTGAGGTTGGGTACTAATTGTTGGAGGAGAAGACCTGACTTGCAATCAGCATTCCAAGTCATCCCAAAGATTGGGGTCAAGGTCCTGTGTAAGCTTCCTGTGTTCTCCCACACCAGATTCATGAAACCATGTGCTTTTGGAGCTGGATTTGTGCACAGGTTACAGTCGCACTAGAGCAGAAAAGGGCCTTCCCCAAATTGTTACAGCAAGGTTGGAAGCGCACAATTGTCAAAAAAGGCTTTGTATGCGGTAACATTAAAAAACCCTACACTAGAAACATCTGAACTAATTAATGCGTAGTGGTGCTTACATTTTTGGCCATATAGTGCATGACAAAGCTCTCAGTATGTAGGCAATAACACCTGTATGCTCCCAGAAACAACATATGTATTAAGCTATCTATGTAATTTATGACCACAGATGAGGGATTTTTTTTTTATTTTTTATTAAAACACATTTGCCCTCAAGCCACACCTTCACAGAGGGGACACCACAAATGGACCATTTAGTCATGGAGTTTGAGTGACACTATCAAGAATACAAACCTGTTGTCTTGTAAAAGCAGGAGACCAATTTTTCAAAGAGGTGCATTGTGTTCTGTAGCTACAAAGACAGTGAGGGAAATTTATCAAAACTGGAGCAGAACAATTCTGGATTCGTTGCCCATAGTAACCAATCAGCTCCTCCTTTTCATTTTGTTCAGTTAAACTTTGTAAATGGATGATGATTGGTCGGACAACTGCTCCAGATTCTGTCTGCTCTAGTTTTGGTGTATTTAGACTAAATACTCATCCTAACAGTGTATAGTATAAAATGATATATATTTCCAGTTTTCTTCAGTAGCTGATTGCAGGCTTTGCACAAGAGAAATGTAATGTGATTTGCTACATACGAATCACAAGGATGGCCAATAATCTCAGATGATCATGCAGTCCTATGTTGGTTGCAGTATGTGTTTCTTCTATTGCAAGTCACTTGTACTTGAACCACAGTAGTAACAATCTTTGGTTGCCTTCTATTACAATCAAGTAATCGCCCATACAACAGAGAAGTATTTTTCACATCTGAACTCCAGGCAGATGTAAAAGACAAATAAACGTAGCCCTAGTTTGTATTTATTAAAATAAATCGGTATATTTTTAAGTGCCTGAATTTGACTTAATCTTTTCCATTGCCCTTTACAGCAGTACTCATACAGGGAGATGGAGATGTAATACTGGGAGCCTACCAGGTGTTCTGCATGGAGAGTATGCTCAAAGGGAGCCATGCCGATAGGAAGAGAGAGCAGAGTGAAATCCCTCTTCAATCTGCTATGGCTCCTTCTATACCCAATCTGTGTGCTGTGGGAGATTTGCCTTCACTTCCAATGAAGTTAGAGGAAATCTGAAAGTCCTTTCTTAAGCTGGCCATACACCTAAGCTCCAGTATGTTGCTAGTCGGCCCCACTGGCTGTCAAAATACCTGAACAATCTGATTGGATGCAGGCATTGGTCAGGTATTTTGAGAGCCAGCGGGGCCGACAAGTAAGATACTGAAGCTTGGCCCAGTGGGAGATTCCTCCATCCACACATTTAGCGTAGATGGAGGAATCTGTTGCACTTTTTCCATCTGACCATAGAAAATCAGCAGATAATCTATAGGTGTATGGCCAGCTTTAGACCATTGTCCCCGAAGATTACTGTGATCATCTATACTGTAGATTTCCCCTCTGCTGTCTGGCTTGTGAAAAGATGTATTAGAGGGCAGTCAAACATTCAGGTAATTTGACCATTCTCAGGCATGTGTCAGCAGTTGGTTCAGTCATCCTTTTATGCCTATACACAGGGAAGGAGCAGCAAGATGCTGCCAATATTAAAGTGACACTAAACTCAGCAGTTCAATCTTAAAAATGCATTCAAGTACCCTAACTATTAACAAAAATGTAGCTTATTTGTGTATCACTCAGCTGTAAATCCTCAAATCATCTCTGAATTTGTGCCGACATGGTGCTTCCTTCTGGAGGGTGGCTACTTTTGTTCCCATGGACCCTGTGTGTGTTGTAAATTAGCCAACGCTCCAAGTTTGCTCCCGTGATGGACTACAATCTCATGTTAGTTTACCAATTTGTATTGAGATTGTAGTCCATCACGGGAGCAAGCTTGGAGCGGTGGCTACTTTACAACACACACAGGGACCATGAAGAACAACGGTAGCATCCCTCCAGAAGGAAGGATAGTGTCGGCACCAATTCAGAGATGATTTGAGGATTTAAAGCTGAGTCATACACAAATAAGTTACATTTTGGTAATAGGGTACTTGAATGTATTTTTGATTTTAACGCCTGAGTTTAGTGTCACTTTACATTATGGCAGGAGAACAGGATGTTGACCATCGTCTAGGGATATTTTATATACATTATACAGTAGGATTGGGCAACTGTCATCTTGTATGTATAGATTTCTTTAGCAGTGAAGCGATCAGGCACATTAACATTGTATTGTGATATAATATTTCACATGTGCTATTTTACAGTTTAAGGGCTTTGATCCGAATCGTCTCTGTGTAGCGACTTTGTTGTTTGAGGGTGACCGTGAGAAGGTGCTGCAGCATGAGAAACAAGTGTATGACATCGCTGCAAAGTTTGGGTATGTAGGACTTCTTTTTGTTTTTGGTTGTTTAATAACTGAATGACCACTTTTGCAGATAATGCTCTAACATAATGACAGACAGGGACTTCTAACTCATTGTTCACCTTCCCTTGCTATTGCCTGGTGATGTCAGAAAATGTGTTTTCATAAGTGCCAGTGGTAAGTGAAGGTACAAACCCAACCAGTTGCTACAGACAACAGATCTTCCTCTCATCTTTTTGTCCTGGTTTTCAGGAGCGGGTCCTGTAAAGATACATACACACTGGTAATTAACAAGGTATATAAAATAACACTCCAAATACTAGTACTGTTTAATTTGCCTTTTATTCTTATTAATAAGCAAGGCGTTATGTTTCATCAGGTATTTCTTGCATTTATAATGAACATTTGATAGGCATGAGAAAAATGCACATGAAATGTTTTTTAAAACTCTATAAATGCATTTAATATGTGCTTCCATAATTATTTATTGCTTACGCACTTGCATTGACTTTCTTTTGGTCACTATTTGCTTAGTAGTAAGATAGGCCCCCATCTCTCATGTATTCCCAGGACTGTAGATGGTCTGTGGAGACACCAAGGTGTTCACTGTGGGATGCCTAATATCCACAACTAGGTAATGGAGATAGTGGATTGCTAGCTTTGTGATAATTATGTTTAAAATATTGGAAGCTTGACGAATCAGTATGATGGTCTTACCTGAAGCTTTAAATGCAGTTATAGGCAGCTCTTATGGGAATACTCTTGACCTGTACTTTTATCATTTTTGGCCTTCCAATCAGTTGTTTTACAAAGCTTACACCATAGGAGTATGAAGGGAGACTTGGGATCTCATTACTAGCTGGATCCCCTGAAATCTATGGGTTCACTATGTGAGACCTGCTGAGTTTGTGTCAAAATGATAGCTACCAATAATTAATTTCTATTGTCATCTAGCAGCCAGTGCTGATCACCTTGACTCACAGGTTGGTTTGACCACCCTTTTTCCCTTGCGGAGTCCTAGAGCCTACAGAATGGCAGCACTTGAAGCAGGGTGTCCGCAAACTTTCTCAAACAGGATGGGAATTGTTGCATTTCATGTGCGAAACCCTATAGGACTAGAGGATTCAGACAATCATCTGCCACCTATGACCCTCTTATTGTCATCTGAAGACCGTTATTCCTATAGGCTGGTAGATGTGCTGCTGCCATGGTCCATTTGCCTTGGTCTTTCCTTATGCTCACTGCCTGCTTCCTCCAACCACCGTTTTACCAGGTCATGGACCCTTTTCAACACTACTTCCTACCTGAAGGTGAAGAGGGTCCAGAACATAGAGCCATGTGATAGAATTCATCACTTATCTCCACTTGAGACACCCAAATATGGAGGAACTCATGAGCATCCTACCCCACACAGCTAAGGGACAGTAAAGCTTTGAGGAATGAAAGGAAGGAAAATTGTATTTCCGTTCTTTTCTTTTTGCAGGTAGGTGGTTCTTAAACCTCAGGATTTCTGTTATTTGTGTAATGGAAACGTGTTGATTTTACTAGAGGAGTTCTTTTGTTTGTGTGTGTGTGTGTGTATATTCTGTCTATCCATTGTACAATCTGAGGTAATGATGGCTGTATATATTCACATTTAAAGATTCATATATAGAGAAATTTCTGACTTAATCATCCATTGGTATTGCACACATTTATTGCTCTACTTAACTGTATTCTCCAGCAGTAAAGAAAAATGCACCTACAATATTATACATGGAACTCCTACCGAGCGTCCTAATGACTATCGTTTCTGAAGTTCTGAGCAGCAGCTTGAATTGTACTAAGCGCCTCAAATCTGCGAATATGCATATTGCACCCTATTAAGCCTTTCCATGCTCAGGGCATGATTTTAGCCTATGCTTTGAAAATGTATTAAACGAACATTCATTTGTCCTGTGTCAGATACTGTGTTACAAGGGTGAGTGCTTTCACTCTCTTGTCGATCCGGTATATTAGTCTAAATGACATCGTCGCTTCATTAATCAACACCATGAGATCAGAGGTAAAGTGTTCAAGGGAGATATTGCTGTGGGGCAAATCGTTTCATTGGTCTATCATGACCTTGCTGCCTCTTCTGCCTGTGAGAGGATCTCTCCCAATATCTTAAATATAGCTTTCTTTCCCTGCGGAGAGTACAGCTGAGGCTGACAATGAGCACTTTCTGCAATGCCTAATGAATATTAATTGGCGGGAGCTGAACATGTTCAGAAAGTATAGTCCCTGATCAGAAAGGTTATTGTTATCACTAGTATGCAAGAAATATTTTATGCTGACACTTTTACTTCCTTGCTACTCTTATATTTATTTCCCTTTTTGTTTCCTGTGGCTTCTCCAAAACACTTTTTGTTACCTTTTTTTGTGTGGCACTTCTGTTTTTTGGTGATTTTTCTATACCTTTTGCTCAATTACCTTTTTTTTCTCCCCCCACTTCTCTTCAGCTCTGGTTATTTTTTTTCAGGGCTATTGCCTATATTATGCTCTTGGCTCATTTTTGTTTTGCGATTTTGCTCCGTCCATTGTGTGCCTTCTTGCCTATACATTGCACCCTTATGCTTTTCTTTACAGTCTTTGGGGTTTGTGTAATGAAATGTCTGCTAACAAGAACATTTTTTAAATCCAATCAGAAACTGCATTGTATGTTCAAACCATGAGCTTAAAATGAGAGCTTGGAGATCGGTTGCTCTGGCCATGGAGACCTGTTCTTGTTGGCACACTTTTTATACAAAAGCCACTTACCTCCTCTGGTTTGGCTTACGTTCTCACATCCTCTCTCATGCCTTTAAAAAGAATGTACTTTTTATTTTCAGTCTAGTTTTAATGCTGTAAGCATTTGTATAATTTAGTCAGGTAGATGCAGGTTGATTTTCTTTTATTTTTTTATTCACTTTGATATTTGTTTTCCCATTAATTTTTTGGCATACTGTGTCTTTCCATTTTCCCTTCTTACTTCCACTGTGTCAGAGTTGCTGCTTGTCATGTATTGATTCTATTTTGGTGGATAAAGACGGAGGAAAGTTAATATTTAATCCTTTTTGTGTAGCAACTCCAGCTTAGACTCCTGCATTTCTCTTAAAAAGGAAACTATGTAATCAAGAGGATTTGATAAATAGTCAATAGCCCACCCCCTGTCACTAATTGTTTTGTGCCGCTACAAAGGGACAGAAAACATTTCACTCCAGTAACAGGGTGAGTAATGATGGGGAGTTTTCTGTCCGTCTCCTTTGATGGATTACATGGCTGATCGATGGAAAGCATTTCAAATAAAATGGCACTGGTCCATCATTAGCACATCGGAGAGAAGAGAGATTTGATGGATCTCCGTTCGGTGACACCGATACACAGTTCCTCTCATCTTTCATGTGGTGCTGCTTGTACATCATGAAATCATTTTGTGTCACAAAGGGTGAAAGACTGCTCTGCGGGTAGGCAGTTATCCTGGAAATCAATCATGAACAGGCCACACTCATTTCCAGAGTAATTAAGATAATTATCTGTGTTTTTAATACATATATATTTATTTCACATGAGCAGACAACATTCTTGGCTGGCTATGTACACCAAGTTTATTAAAATAGCTTTCTGATTATCATGGGATACTGTTCTCTAATTTTATGTAATCTATTACCATTTGTTATTTAAAGAAGGGAAAAAATGCTTGGGTTAAATGCTGGGTACAACACTGAATAATATAGTAAACGGCAAGATAAGTTTAATGTACCTTATGTGTGTTACCATGGCTATTCATATAAATAACACGTGTGTCAGTTCCTAAATGCGCAGAGGGATTTTTATTGTTTCAAAAGTCATAATATTCTTTATATAATAATATGGTAATGTTTAATGAGGTTTAGCAACCAGTGTTCACCTTTCATCAGTTAACGGTAGTTGTAGTAATAAAGGATACGTTCGAATTGGTCACAGTGTACCTTACGTCAAAAAGTCCTTTGCTCTTTATATGTTGTCTATGTTCTATGTATGTAGACTTTTTAAAAGGATGGCTGCGGAAATTGTAATTTGCAGCTACAATTTAAGTTCCGTAAGTTGCAAGGTGGACCTCCATGGATTGGATTTGTTTTTTCCAGCACATCCCTCAGATGCTCGTTTTGATTGAGATCTGGAGAATTTGGTGGTCAAGTCAATGTCTCAAACTCGTCGTCATGTTCTTCATACCATTCTTGAACCATTTTTGCAGTCTGCTAAGGCACTTTATCCTGCCATCAGAGAATACTGTTTCCATGAAGGGTCAGCAGCAATGTTTAACTAGGTGGTACATGTCAAAGTAACATCAACATGATTGGTAGGACCCAAGGTTTTCCAACAGAACATTGCTGAAACCATCACACTGCCCTCACCAGCTTGCCCTCTTCCAATAGTACATCCTGGTGCCATCTTTTCCTCAGGAAAGCGACAAACATGCACCTGGCCATCCGCATGATGTAAAAGAAGACTTGATTCATCAGACCAACCCACCTTCTTCCATTGATCCATGGTCCAGTTCTGGTGCTCACTGTAGGCACTTTTGGCAAAGGATGTGGGTAAGTATGGGCACCCTGACCGGTCTGTGGCCTTGCAGCCCCATACACAACAAACTCCAGTGCACTGTGTGTTCAGATGCTTTTCTATCGGAATCATCATTAACTTTTTCAGCAGTTTGAGCTACACTAGCTCCTCTGTTGGATTTGAACAAAACGGACTAGTCTTCGCTCCCCATGTGCATCAATGAGCATTGGCCGCCATGACCCTATCGCCGGTTTACTGGTTTTCTTTCTTTCTTTGGACTACTTTTGGTAGGTCCTGACCACTGCAGAGAGGGGACATTCCACAAGAGCTGCAGTTTTGGAGTTCCAGGTACTATTGTAATCAGATAATCAACGTTATTCACTTCACCTGTTAGTGGTCATAATGTTATGGCTGATCAGTGTACATAAAGTGATTTCTGCATGCCTGGAGAAGACAACTGGCTTCAGGGCTTG